AGCCAAAGTTTTATGATACCTAGACCCAGACTAGGGTAGTACAGGCGCGCCTAGGCGGTGCAGTGCACCAGGTCCTTCGGTTGTAAAGGCCTCCAGGACCAAAAAGCCTAATCAAAAAATGTATACAGGTAATAATTTAAATTAAATAGGTAAGTATCCACAATTCTCTTACCTACAAGGGACCCCCAGAACCAAAAATATATTTATGTCCCCAGCTGCAGGGTGCTAGTATAAACAAATGACATTATATGAAAAAACTCTTTCAGGGGTTAGAAAAAAATATCATTATTACATAGTTATAGTTAGAACTGCTGAGGCCGCAACAGCAAATACACAAACGTGTAGAAATTTCCGTCTCTACGAGACGAGAATGACAGATTGATTATTTTGGTTAGACACAGTCCAAGATTATCATTTACTATTGCATAACTGTATTGTGAATGTTAATAAAAATTGATGTGCAACTTCTAGGCATAAGTGCATACAAAAAAAAAGATATCCATTTTCATCGTTATAAGATATGAATTATTCTAATACTTGTTTTATACAGCCCAGGTATTTTTAGTGCAAATATTAAAATTTACCAATTATTTGAATCGAATATTCAAGATGTTCGAAATATTTAAATAGTTTAAATAGTTCGAACATTGTTTTTAAAAACAATGGTTAAATTATTCGAATAGTTTAAATTATTCGAATGGTTCGAATTATCCGAATGGTTCAAATATTCGAAAATTTTTCAATAAAATTTGTTTTAAACAATTATTACACAACAATGTTTTTCCAATTTTTTTTATCGTGGAAATATTATTTGAATTGGGATATTATTTGAATTGGGATATTATTTGATTAGTTCGACAGATTACACAGATTACACAGCCATTTTGCCCACCATGTCTCACTATGATTTTCTTGTGTAGTTTGGCTCACTAAACGCGAAAATCACACTTAAATTTTTTTTATGGAAGAGTTTTCGAGATATGAATTTTCAATTGTTTTTTTTTAATTTTCTGAGGTTTTTTGACGTTTTAGAGTATACTTCGAGTTCTAATCGATCGATTTGACCAAACAAGCACTTAAATCAAAGGTAATTGTGCCCTCTACAACTTTCTCTGGTATAGTTTTGGTATCGGCTGGAAAAAGTCCTTTTTTTTACAAAAATTGAGGTCGAAAATTTACATATCTTTCTGGAAAAGATAGAAATCGAAAAGATAATTCCAGATTATGATTTATTTTACGTATAGATTATATTTAAAGGAAAAATAAGCTGCTGTTTATAAAAATCCATGGATAAATGGCAAAGTTGTGAATTTTTCAGTGGAAGACCGTAATTCAGTTTTTCGAGAATTCTTCAGTTTATTGAATTATATAAAATTTAATATTGAACATTGATTTTTATTTTAAACATTAAATATTGAAATTAAATTGTATATTGAATATTAAACAATAAATATTGAAGAAATTTTATTTTGTTGTAATAAGCATAGGTTTAAAAAAATTCTGGCTCCTTTTTTGTTTTTTGTTGATTTCGTATTCCGTTTCTCGTATGAGGGACAAAATGTAATCACCCATCATGGCTGCATCCCAGAAGCCGCTCATTTGCTGGTGAAACTCGAACTCTGCACTCTCCTTTTTATTAAATAAATAAAACCATGATAAAAATACCTTTTTGAAATATCAAAAAATATCAGTAAAATGTCACTATGCCAACACGAGAAACAAAAGAATTCACGTTTCAAATTTTAAATAATGTTTTCGGTGAAAAACTCAAAAAATTCCAATCAAGCATTCTATTTAGGTTTTCATTAAAGAATAAAAATATTACAAAATAAAAGAAGAATAATAAAAAAAATCGTCAAAAAGCTGAATTTTGCTTTTCAACTAAAAAATTCATAACTTCGCCATTTTTTTATGTATTTTTATCAACATTAGCTTGTTTTTTTTTGTAAAAATGTCAGCTTCACGAAAAAAAAATCTAACTGGAGTTATCTATTTGATTTAAACCTTTCCCAGGACGATATGTAAATTTTTGACCTCAATTAGCGTCAAAATATGTATCCAATATCAAAAGTATGTTTTAAAGGGCTCAAATACCTTCAACTTAAGGGCTTTGACCAAATCGATCAATTAGATTTCAAGCTATACTCAAAACGTCAAAACACCTCCGAAAATTAAAAAAAAACCCAAATGAAAATTCATATTTAAAAAACGCTTCCATACAAAAAATTGAGTGATTTTCGTGTTTAGTGGGTCAAAATACATGGGATTATTATATAATTAAAATTTTACAATAATAACACTAGTTTACAAAATCGAAAAAAACCCATTATAAAATGGGATTTGGTGGGCAGAGTTATTTTTCGATTTTGTAAACACATAAAATATAAGGTGATTTTAATGATTCCCATAATGCGCCAACTGTGCTCAGTATTTCCCATGCAGTGGATAAATTTTGTAAAAACATAATCTTAAGAATTATTTAACTTAATTTTGATTGGAAAAGGGTAGCGTTTGGTGTTTTCAGCGGTTACATCATTGATACTTAATTTTATCAAAAATTAGACAGGAACTCGCATTACTGTCAATAGCCAACGGCTCAATTTTTGGAATTGTACTGTTCTTAATCTCAACGATTCAATTATATCGACAACATTATATTGAAAAATGGACCAGTGAGATTGTGCGATTTAACATTACTCGATTACTTTTCAAATGGTGGTACTATGCTAGTATTTACTCAATGATAAATCAAACAATTTAGGACTTAGAAGCCAAAATAAGATAGGGGTCCAAATGCTCAAAAGACTAGTCCAAAATTGTACGTTTAAGCGCATCTTAAAAACGGCCGAGGAGGTGTACAATAATTCTATTAAAATGTATTCAAAACATAATCTTATATACCATTCTTTATTACGAATAAAGATTGTTGATTCAATTTTAATTCATGTCATTTTTACTTTAAAAATATGTTCTATTGCTCTTAAAAACCCCCACAAAAAAGTAAAGTAGTTGTTCTTTCCGAGTTCAGAAGATCCACTATGGAAAAATATTGGGTTGATACAACCCAGATCAGCTCTATCTCATTACGTGGTAACCCACCAATCCAACCAATGTGTAATATTACAAAAAACAGTGGAAGGTGTAGAACAAAAATATATCACCAATAGTTTTAGTTAAATGTTTTTTAAGAAAATTGATGTTAAAACCAAATTTTCCACGTTGGTAATTTATGAACACGGTTCTGAGGGGGGCCCGGTGCTCGGACTATAGAGTAAATTTCAAAATATTTTTTTTAATGAGAAAATCAACAATAACCTTCATTAATATTTTGCTTTGATTCTTTTCTTGATTATTATCAATTCATCATTTATATTCTACTTAATTATTTACTTACCATCTTGAGAATTAAACATGAATATAAAATGGCATGAAAAATTTTCATTGAAAATAAACAAATGTATGTAAAATCATAAAATTAATGGAGGAAAAATGCTTTATTATGCATTTATTTTTTTAATAATATATAACTTACAAATTTTGTTTATTGAAATTTAAAGATTTGTAATATTTATACATGGGTTTTATTTAAATAAAAATAATGTACATAAATTAAACATATATGAATATTACAAATGGATTTTACTAAAATTTAAAAAATCTGGTTACTTCTAAGGGCTCGGGAATAAATTTACAGCAGTCTTCCCAACAAGCTGTAAACACGGTGGCAAGGTAAATTGTCTTGAATATCGGCATTTATATTGTAGTTTCACGATTGTTGTTCGTGACATATTCGTTTTAAGGATTGGATCTGAGACTGCAGCAGTACGCTGCAGCAGCGTTTGGGGTTAAAGGTTTTGGGCGTGTGCAGGCGTAGGTGCTTTTAAACGTATATGAATCTACGCCTACAGATCTACCGTTTGCATAATAACAACATCTATATGCGCTGTTTTTGTTGTTATTTGGTGGATATTTGTCTTTTAAATTGAATAATCGACCTAGGTAGCTTAGTTCATAAAATAAAAGGTCGTATATGTAAATTTTAAAGTAAGTTAGCAGTAGTGGGAGCGAAGGAGCAATGACAATTGGTAGTGTTAGTATCTAGGAAAGGTAGTTATTACGGACCTGGGCCCTACGTGAGGAAAACTTAATCAGGTTGAAGTGAAGCGATTTGTGAATTGCAATGAAGCATGCCACCGAGTTAAATGAGGTGAACCCTTTCTCGAATGGCATCGTAAAAAAATCGTGTAATAAAATGAATGGAAATAACTAGTAAATTATGACTGGGCTATAATTTATCCGGTAATAAAAACTATAAAATATAAAGACGTTTAACCTTTAGACGACGACGAAATTAACAGTATAGAAATTTCTAATATAAATCCTGGCAGCGGTAGCAAAGTAGTTATGGACTAATAGAAACGCCAGGCCGAATGGAAATAAATTACTTTAATGTATGGTAAACATTCATATATGTAAGCGTAAGATTCATAAATATGTCACTACTGTTGTCAACTAAATGCCTATTAATGTGTTCTTGGGAAACTGAGACACGGCCGACTATATTTTCTACACGTCAGCCGCTACTAAGTTAACGATAAGGTATGGTGGTATAGCCGGGACGGTGACAGCTGCCGACTTTTTGAAAAATAAACACGACGTTGTTCGCAAAATAAAATCAACAGCTGCGGTAGCTAATCTATTCCCGGATTAGATATATGGTCGTGCCGGCTCGTTATTTTGTCCCAATTATTTTTGTTTTATGGCCGATGAAATGTTAAGTTATTGCTTTTAATTTCTGCGCCGATTTAAGTTTTTATACACACTTTTAAATTTATGATCGTAATAAAAATACAAAACATGTAGCTTTCATAATGAATTTAATATTTTTCTTTTTTTCGAAAAAATAAATAAAATAACACAATTTATAATTTTTAACAATAAAAATAGTTTAAATTTTAAATTACACGATATGATATGATAATGGTAGACGTTTTTGTACAGAAACATTACACATACAGTGACAATAATCTCGCTAACAAATAATAGGACTTATAAAAGATAATTTTATGTACTAACAATAATAATTATTGCAATAAATAATTAATTGAGATCTGTACATAAATATACATTACAATATTTGGGTAATTAGCCGATTAAATCAGCTTCAATTAAATTATTTACATTAAACATTTTTAATAATCACTTAATGTTTATTTTCAATATTAAAAATAATATCACACATTCACGTCCACACAAAAGTACACCACCGAAACAGAGTGATAGGTTTGATAGTCAATTAGGTAATCTTGTGAGACTAGGTAAAGTCTATCGTAACACAGCTTCATATTTGGCTTTAACAAAACGTTATGTCCTATGGATGCATTCCTGGAGCGGCACCCAGCCTAGGCCCGTACAAAGAGTAAGGGGATAAATATGGTGATAGACCAGGATGGCTTAGATGAGGAAATCCCGACAACGGTGAAGTACTCAACGAAGACGGCATGAGGGACGGTTTACTGTATGGATGGTACCTAGCTGTGGCCAACGGACTCAAAGGCGGCGTAGGATACGTCCTGTGTAACAAAGGATGCGTCGGCATACCAGTAGGACTGGATAGCATCGATAGTGCTGAATTCGCTTCGGACACCGATACCACACTGGTATGAGTTCTTAAGTGAGACAACAACTCTTCAGAGCTGGAAAACCTCTTTCCGCAGTAGGCATGATCCCCAGAAATCCAATTACAAACGTAAGGCAAATGCGATGCAGCTGCAAGTGCAGCCAATTGAGCATGGGCATAAGCGGCCGCAACAGGACTATGCGTCAAGTATCCTGTGGAGGTTGGAATTTTTGCATGATCGCACTGAGAACAACCGGCGGGGCATGCACCAGATTTTGCAGTTCCAAGCATATGAGAGCTAACACTACAACCGGTGCAGTAAGGATCGCGGCACACTGAAGGCATGGAGTCCTGTGTCTTAAGTCTTCCGTAACTTAAATATGGACTCAAACCTCCAGTCTTGAGAGCATGATGTTGAGACATTAAACTACTTGTCATTAAGTCCATTGGTAAAAATCCTGCGCTTGGGTACCCTGGCATAAAGGTGGAAGTCACTGGTACACCAGGTTTAAAGGTACCCAAAGGTAAGTCTTTAATGGCAGGGTCCGACGAAGAAGTTAAAATATTTGGAGTGAAAGCAGTCTTCATAGCCGATGATGTTGGTGTTTGTAGGCCATTTCTTTCAGGTGATTTCGAAGGTGAAGTTCTTTCCGTTGAATTTTCAGTTGCAGGAGTATTCCTTTCATTATTAGGTGAAGGTCTTGGCGAAGAAGCACTTTGATTACTAGCACAACGTCCATTATTGGCTGGTGTGTTACTTTTTACAGCTAAAGGAGATCTAACTCTACTACCGTTGGATGTAGAACTTGATCTACCTTCTGGGGTTCTTGACTTTTCTCTTGTTAAGTCATGACTTTTAAAAGATGATTTGTTGGCATTTTCACTGTTTTTTTCTTTCGATGAATCTTTTGATTTTGAAGATTTATCAGCACTTGCACTTAAAAGTTTAGAGTTTGGAGAATCAGCACCGATTTGACTGCATGTTTGAGCTAACAACGCCAATGGACTTTTCTTAGCATCCAACTGTAATAAAAAAAAAGAAAAATTAATAACAATGCTCTTTAATTACAAATTCTTGCGTAATTTAAAATATATGAATATGCACAACGAAAAATACTTACAGTCGTTGGTAGAGGAGTAAGATATTCCGGTCTGAGATACTGGTTGCTTGAGGTCAACATTTTAAATTCTTAAATAACAATATAACACAAATAGTAAATAAAATGTTCTATTTAACTTAAAACGTTTATGCCACTACGCGCTTATTTATTGACAGAAAATATAACCGTACATTCACAACGAAGTTCATTTCTACACTGAAGCGAAAAAGCGCACACAAACTCTCGGATGGCCATGTGAGAAGTAGCGCTCTCTGTCGGCGGTGACGTCACTTTACCCCCTCCCCCACTGCGCCTCATGGCTTGCTTTGACACCGTCGACCACAGATCACTATGTTATTGCTGTCGTCGCTCTTTTGTTTTTATTCCCTGCCTTTTACCAACTTTGCTTCCCTTGGCTCTTTGGTGTTAATAAATAAACTAATTTTTCTCGTTGACATCCTTTTAGACACGTCCCTTCATTTTTTTTTAATTTTGAATAATAAAGAATAAAATGATTTTTACTGTCTGGGGTGAATATTTTATCATGTTATTAAGATATAGGCAAAAAGATAACTAACGATTCAATTTTATATTGATGCAGTTAAAAGAATATTGCAATAATTTTTTCTCATTAATAATACTTAAGAAAAATTGAGTAGCCTTGATGTTCAATTTTAAATTTATGTTGTTTCATCAAGTAAATTATATAAATATTAATCACGTAATTTATATGTGAGACTACAAATGTTATTTTTAGGACTCGTAATTTATGTGTATGCCTTATAATTAACAAGTCGGGAAATGAATTAAATTTTTACATGTAATTTTAACGCGTAATAAAAAAAATTATTATATTAAATGCATAAATTTTTATAAAACCAAAGCACAGAAATGCGAGTTTTTTTTGCTTTCGATGCCATACAAACAATTTCCGTCTAGTCAAAATATCATTATGCGAAGCTTTGTGAAGACGCCGCCATCACCAATCAGCACAAATAAATCAGGTTTGATTGGAAGAAAGCTGACACGTCAAGATTTACTGCTTTTAGTTTCTTTTAAAGCGGCTTGTTTTCTAAATATTTCTTTTTAAAGGAAGCACAGCTAAATAATGCAGTAGGTAAATTTTACATAAACTTTAATCAGAATAGGTAGTTGGAACTTCTTTCAATTCACAACACATCTTTTAACTAGGTATATATAAATTATTTAAATTATTGAGCATAAATATTTACAAACTTATAAAATTATAATAACTTTGTTATTGGGCCATTATATATGTTTACCAGATTTAATAAGATTATATGATGCATAAATCAGGCTTTTCTTATTATGTCAACATATTTTCTATATTTAGTTAATAAATTAAAGTAGGTATTAAGTAAGTGATTATACATTGACCTCCAATAATCCACTGGGGTTTAATGTAACCGAAACATGTTATTAAGAAAATAAAAATGCCCAGACTAATTTGATCACTATAAAAGGTTTTTTTGGTATTTATGGAAATAAGTGTCATGGCTCGAAAAGCATTATTTTCTTTGACTTTTAGTTTAGCTAAAAGAAAATACTGAACAAAGGTTTCTACTAGAATTTAGAAGCATCTATTTACACCTAGTCGGACTTAATCCAAACATACGAGCGTCCTTATTGTCTCAACCTCGCTACCGTTTAAATCCTTTTTACTCTCCGGTTTCATCCACACCCACAAAAAAGGATGAACATGTGAATCCAAGTGGATTAAAATGAGAAGAAAGTATGAACGTCTGACAAAATAAAAATTGGGTAGTTAAGAATATTAACTGTTCGCTTATGGTGCATATTTGGAGGATTTCATAAACATAACTTGTTTATATATGACTTGGGTTTAATGCGGCTACTGGTTTGTGTCACATAATTTCTATTTTAAAGCAGATAAAATAAATTGCGGACAACTTTATTTTAATGCTGCCAAAAGATAATAAATAATTTATTAATATTTCCATTAACATTTACTTATGTACTCTATCTCGGTATACGTTATTATACTTACCAGTGTTTTTGCTCACACGGATACGATAATAAATGCAATTCTCCTTAATGGTTAATATAAATAATCAGTTAATAATAACTGTAGTTTATTGATAATTATTTTATTAATAAGCTTAATATTTTAATTCATATTAAGTGATAAATTGAAGTGGTAGCGGATTAAAGAAATTAAAACTATTTGCATATTTAAAAACCGATTAAGTATCCATCCAATTAGTATTAATCAATTTTTAAACAATCTATAGGTTGGACATACGTTGGTTTAATTTAGCTTTACTAATATCAGAAAATAACCTAATAAATTAAGATTAAAACTATTTTTTTTAAATAGTTAAAAGGATTAAACATTATATGTATATGCAAATAGGAAAATAATATAAAAAATAATGTTTGCATTGACTAATTAATTTTTTAGCATTTTCTTGGTCATAAATTATATTAACCAATTAGTGGTCATAATAAATTATACACGTAAAATATTCTTGAAATAAATAAATGATATATTTATGGTATATATAAATATTTAATAACCGTTTTCTCTATTTTCATTTAATTTTAAACTCAGTAGGTGTTCAATCATTAATCTTACGTTGCGTGGGTATTTTACTCGGTAGGAATAGTTTGTTTTAAGTACCTAACTATTAACAAGAAATTATTTAAATTTATTAGTTTCTAAATTAAATACTATTGATCCTAACCCTCGAACAATTCAGAGAGATCAACAATACTATACACAGATATTAGCGTTATAAACGGTCGTGTAATTTACTGCATTGCTTCATGAAGTTTAACTATTGTTAGGCGTTATTCTTCTGTCGCCCATAAAAGTCACCATGAATTGTTAAATTGATGGTTGGGCATTCAGATCTCAAATAGATCTAGAACTGACATTAAAGGGATGGTCGCAGGGGTGGTGGCTATGTTGGTTTTGGTTTTTCCAAGTGCAACCTTGACAGCTGCGGAAACATAAAGACATAATGGCAACTTTATAAATTTACAGCTATGGAAATAGGTCAGTGATAACTTATCTCTAAAGATATAAAAACAGGATGTGGGTAGTTTATAAAAAATGTAATAAACCATTAGGCATTAACAAAAGAGCAGACAAGTTAATTGTAAGTATAATGTATTATTTTGGAACCTAATATAAATTCTTTTAAAATACATCAATGTTTCCGTAATAACCATTGTAATTGTGTGTTTACGTTACATAAAGTTAATACCATCAAATACCTAGGTTTATATAGATGAAAATCAATTATACATTTTAAAGATATTTTAATACCTCTACAAATATACAGACAAACAAAATATCATAATAATTATTAGCCCCATAAATATTCAACCAGTATACTTATAAAAATTTAAAATAACCAAAACGTTAGCAAACCATTGGACAAATATTTTTTACATTTAATTTAATAAATTTGTATAATAAAGATTTAATCAAGATTTAATCAATAGCCTTTCCTAGAAAATATTATTGTTGATTTCTGTAATTGATTTTAAAAGAATTAATTAATGTTTTGTTTGTATGTTTTTTAATACTGTATACATTTTTTGTACTTCCATTTCATATCCAAGAAAACACGCAAACAAGCAAACAAGCAAGACTTTGGCGTTTTATTTGTTTTTCTTGGTAAAGTTAATAGTTTTTTTTCTGTATTTTTTGCATATAATTAATTTAAATATTTTTTGTTTGTATAATTTGTTGTAAAATAATAAACATCTAGGTATATATATCTATCTATCAACAGTAATATACCGATAGAAGAGGCGCGATGTTCCTAAAATTATTACGAAATTTTTATTTATGATCTAATACCTATCTTTAATCAATAATGAAAATACTCTTTGAGTATAGAAATTTAAAAATAATGCGACTACATTTTACTACATTTTATTATATACTAAACGATTCAGTTTTGTTTTTAAATTTATATGCACTAGGTTGCAGTCTTATCGAGTAAGTAAGTTGCTAAGCAAATAATAATTTTGATTTGTTCAATAAACGTGAAGTAAATTACACTTTAGGTAATTTTTTTACTTTTGAAGTATCACAGCTAAACGCTCGGACACGTAAACATACATTTCTAAAAAAGTTTTTAGTCCAATCCGGGAACACACTGTATACTGTTATATTATAATTTATAATAATAATATATTTTACCTCTAGTGCCAATATTTCTATGCTTTTTATTTTATTTAATAAAATATCCTCAATTATACTCAATAAAAAAAAATCAGCACAAAAACATTTTAAATTTCCTAAATTATCTAAGAAAAACGAACAAGAATTTTTATTTTTTTTTTAATTTAATTGATGTGTGGGTCCAGCCAAATTGATTTTTTTTAAATTTATACAGGGTGTTTAAATTTATACAGGGTGTTTGAAATATATTAAATTTTGACCTGATACAGATATACCAAGCAGGGATTAGTAATCTACGACCAAAAATTAGGTTTACGTGTCCGAGCGTTTAGCTTTTCACCTCCCTACAGTGTTATCGGGGGTAATACTGGTGTTAAAAAATTACCGATTATTTTCATGAGAGTACAGTTGTTATAAATTATAATTGTTAACCAAGCTTAAATAAAAATCTTATTTTTAAGCCCAAGCAGTATTTAGGGTGAATATTTCTTGAGTAACAATTCCTACTTAAAATACAAAAAATAGTAAATTTGTTGAAACAAAATTAACAAAAATATAACTAACTATATCATAAATATAACTAACTATATCATAAAAATTATTTTTACTTTTCACCGTGTTTTTTCTTCCTAAAAATCACCAATACTATTAATTTTAACGAGCTTTGTGTAAAAACGTAGAAAAAAACGTTTTGCCGTTTTTGGTTTACGATGCAAACAAACTAATTCATGACATGTCAACGTGGTATTTCCACTAATTTTTAAGTTTCCACTTATAAATTCATTGTAAGTGATTTTTGTAATTGTTATAAAACGCGTATGCAACAAAAGCTTGTCAAGTTTATACTCTCTGGTTAACACTAATGTTCTTGTTATTCTCACAGTATGCACCAAATATCCATCAACGTACGGGTATCTTTTTTATTTGAAGATATACAAGATTGGTTAAATTAATTAGATACGAAAATTGTATTATTTTGAGTTGTGAATCTTTTGTTACAAACTGGCGAAATGATCAACATCTATTGGA